ATATAAGATAAAATTTAGTTTTTTTATTCAGCAAACAGTCTGCCTAAAACATCCAGACGGAGGAAAAAATAAATATACAATTGTATTGGTGAATGTAAAGTAGGATGATTAAATAATTAAAATTTATATAAATATGTATATCTTTGGAGATGTCAAGGCAGTGGAGGGCATAATTAAAATTTAAAAAAACTAATTTTTTACTGCAATTTCCTTTTTTTTTTTGTGGTGGTGGGTGCACTAATTGCTCAAAAATAAAATTTTATTTTCATTTTAAAAATATCAATATTTGCAGTAGGCGTGTTCGATAAACAAGGTATAAAAAAAGTCTCGCCTGAACATTTGGTTTTTAGAATCTATTAACTTACCGATTTTGACAATCTTGAGCTTTTGAAACTTCTTAGTACTTTTTGATCGAGTTCAGATGAAGTCAGGAAACAAGGTTGTTAAGAATAGATTTAAATGTTGTTAAACAAGTTTCAAGGCTTGAAAATACTGTAAAATATTAATATAAATATGTTAAGTGAATTACCATGTAAATAAAACAAACGATTATATAATAGCACCAAATTCTATCACATGAAGTAGTTGATGTATTTTGAAATTTTTGTTCTGTGATAAGTTTAAATGAGGTGTTTTGTGCAAGTTTAAATAATGTAGTCTGTTAAGGTGACTCTCAGGCTGCACATCACAAATTCAGCACACTACTGTACTTCAAGCTGTGTATAATTACTTTGTTAAATATATTAATGAAAGTAGGTTTATCAAATCCAATTAAAATAAAAGAAAATAAAGTAAAAACAAAAAAATAACAAACATTATGCTTTAATTATAACTGTCATTAGCATAAATATTATGTCATGGAATTATGAAATCTAAAAAAAAAAAACAAAAACAAAAAAAAAGCGATTCCAATTAGAATCAAAATATATTATATATTTACAGGAATTTCCTGTCTCATTCAAAGTCGATGAACATTACTTCTTGCCCTTCCTACTATGCATATGTAGGCCTCGATAACTAATACAATACACATTCAGTACAGCACGGTCGACTTTAGCTTAAAAAACTACAGTATGACAGTCGACAGAAGACGGGAAATGCAATTTACTACCTCTAAAATCTTACAACTATTACCAATGTATTTTATTTAAAGGCTGGTATACTTATATCATATTGAAATATTCCACAAAAACCGGAGAACTTTCGTCCAAATTGCTACACATTGTCACTTTCCTCGCGACATTGTTTACATTAGTTACCGAGTTTACAAGAACGTTTGTGATTGGCTAATACGTCTCATCAATGCTTAACAGGTATGGTAAGTGTGCTGTGATTGGGTACTGCTTTCGTGAACGACATTATTTTTTTGAAGATAAATTCTTATTTTTGGTTACAGTTTCCCCAAATTTACGATTGCCGACAATTATATTATGTTTCAATAAAACAGTATTGACATTTTTGTGCGAATGCCAAGTAGCGCGAATCGGTGGGTAACAGAATTCGTAAACTAAGCCGATTTTGGAACCTCAACCCACGGTCTACAAGTAGATAATCTAGTCGACATATTTCGATGTGAACGAGGCTAATGTACATCAAACTGAGAGAGATGAACGGGAACTGTATAATGATAATAGTCGTGATTCAAGTAGTGATTTGTTTATGTGTACGAATCATGTTGATAATCCTAGTGGTAAATTGTCTAGAGA